TTGTTTTTGTTTTACCTCCTCCCAGCCTTTTAAGAAGTTCTGAATGCCGGGAGGCAGGCATGCCAATCATGTTATCACCGTGATTGGCAGTATGCATCGGGAGTGTTCCAGTTCCCATCGGTAACTGTGCTGGGCATGCAGAGAAATATTTACATTTGGGATGTATATATGCTGCCTCGAGGTGGTAAAGCCCATTTGCCGCGAGGCTGCATATATGCATACGGCTGGTGGGAAGAAATTAATTAAACTGAATTCCAGGTATGACTATTTTTGCAGAGCCGGACCAATGTAACCATGCCTGTGCCATTTCTGGCCAATCTCTGTAGAATCTGAAATCACTGTAGTAGGCACTGTTACGGAGAGAAGGGGCAGTGACATCACCATCTCCACCTCATCCAATCTGAGAATGCTTTGCAATCATTGAGAAAATGCAAAGGGTTCCCTAAATGGTGCCTGTCCTGCACAAGCAACCTCCTGTGTTCACAGAAGAACTGCCATTAGGCACTGGAACCTGAAGCTGGCACAGGACCCAGAAGCCAATGGCAGTTACTGCAGTGCCTACTACAGGGATTTCCAGCTTCCACTGGGATCAGCCAGGTATGACACATTCAAACCTACATTTGGTCCAAGCTAGGCCAATGTAATTTTGCAAAAATATCCATATTATACTAGTAAGCTGTAAACATGCATATTCAAGACTGGCTAAGGGCTCATAAACACTAGTGACTGAGGGGCAGTAAAATTTTACTGCTACCTACTTTAGCTGCAGAAGCTGCAGCATGGGGGTGTGTGCACATGTTGAGGCCATGATGCTTTGCTTTGTGAAGGAATTCTTCCCCCTGTCACTTTCAGCAGCCATAGCGCCTACAAATGTGAAAGTGAAAGCGACTGGTCTGCAAGCACCCTGCAACCATGTGCAATGCTTGTGATGCGCTAGTGCGGGGTTCAATGGGTTAAAGCAGGCAGTGTAGGCAATAAAATGCTTCCTCCCTACCACTCAAATGCTCCCTGAAGAGCAATCCAAACATGGATCGCTTTTCAGAAACCAACAATTGTGTGGGAACTAGTCCACAGGGTGTTATATTACTGCAGAACTACTTTTTACCAGGGGAAGGCAAAATTTCATGAAGGGAACTAAGGCCACATTCACACTTCACGATTTTGAATTGCTAGCAAAATCAATGATTCTGCCTGCAGTTAGAAATCGCATTGCAATTGTGGCAAAACGCACTACGCATGTTTGGGTGCCATTCATTCTTAATGGTACCTCAAAGGCAGTACCATTTGTCATTTGAAATAACCATGCAGCAAAACACATCGCGCAAAGCTTGTAGTCCAAAACGGAGCAGTAGCTTTGGCCAGTCACAGCAAAATCACACCACGTTTCAGGTGCCATTAAGAATTAATGACACCCAAACACACATGTTTTGCAACCTTGGCAGTACAATTTGGAATTGTGGGCAGAATTGTAGCGATTCTGCTCACAATTCATAACTCCAAAGTGTGAATGTGGACTTGGATCCCATAGGAAATTTGTCTGAAATTACATATTCACCAGTTTCTACCTGGCAATAGCAAAATGACAGATGAGCGAGACTTTTGTCGATCTGGGTGCATGTAATTTGATGTCCTCCCGGATCGCCGCCTCAAACACTCCCATGGGGGCCACACTGTGGCGAGATCTGTCACTGGCTGTGTCCCTCAGAAACAGCCAATGACAGATCTGTGTACCGGCCTCATTGCCAGTACCATGTGACCAATCACAGCAGGTCATATGACAATTGTAACCAATGGATGGCTTCCTTGCATGCCTTCCATTATTTACAATTGTGTTGCTAGCTGCAATTGGTTAGTGATCACATGGTACAAACTGGGCCAATCACAGCCCATCTGTCTCGTGATTTAGCTGTGGCCAATCACAGCAGATCATAAAATAAAACTGAATTGATTTCATTCAGTTAAATGCTTGCTTATACAAGTGACATTCACTGCTATAGACAATTATAGTGTGTGTCTTAAAAAAAAAAAAAAAAAAAAAAAAAAAAAAAAAAAAACACTTACCCAGAGTAGTGCATTGTTACTATGGTAACATATTACTCTGGTCACAGTGTTGTAAAAAGAAATTGTACAAAATGTGAAATTAAAAAAAAAAAAAAAAATTTCCATACGGTCACCAGTCAGTGTCCCAGATCACTGTCACGCCACTTATATGATGGTACTGCACTGATGACAGTATATTAAAAAAAAAAAAAAATCTTTATTTTCTAAAATAAGTTAAAAAAAAAAAAAAAAACTTGCCATGCCTCTTACTAAATACTGCAGACTGTCTACTTTCCAAAAAGGGGTAATTTGGGGGATATCTGTACTGTACTGACATTTTTGGGCCTCAAAAACTGAGAGGCCGTCAGTACATCAGGATTCAGTGATTTTCAGATATAAACCATACTTTGTGAATGCTATAGCTTTCCTACAGTCTAAATAATATACACTGATTTGGGTTATTGTCACACAAATGGAGCGGTATACATTTTTGCCTAAATTTATGAACAATTCTCAATTTTATAACAATTTTTTTTTTTTTTTTAATTTTTGGTCTTTTTTTCCGTTTAAAAAAAAAAAAATTAAAAAAAACCTAGTGGTGATTAAATACCACCAAAAGAGTCTCTAGTTTTGTCAACAAAATGATAAAAATTTTGGGTTGGGTAGAGTTGCATGACCATGTCATTGAAAATTGGCCTTGGCAGGAAAAGGGTAAAATTGCTCGGAACTGAAGTGGTTAATATTTCTTTCACACAACACTGTGCGCTATTTCCATACCCCCCCATGTAGTTCATTTTCTATGTGTTTTTATATTCTGGGTAAATAATTTTCTTTCATGTGTACACCATGTGAATGTATGTACACCTGTAATGTGAATGTATACACCTATGGAAGATACCAGTCCAAAAGTCACCGTGTAACAATTTGTCAATGTGATTTGCAGTGATGGATTCATAAAGGCTGTAGGATCCACACAGACAATACGTAGCCAATTTTCTCAAGCAGAATTTGAGACAGTCATTGATTGTTCTGGAAAATGTGTTCTGCCAGGTAAGTGGTTATATGACAAAAGTAAATCTGAAAAAAGTATAAACTATACTTCTCAGTAAAGATGTATTAAAAAGAAAACCAGGGATGTTCTATATTGCAGCTTACAATCATTCGATGTGGTGGCCGCATCCGTTTTCTTGTCTTAGACTTTTTTCCCTCTGTTCCCCCTGGGGATCTGGCCAGTAACGCACCTTCTGTATGAGTGCTACATTCTGGATGTATGAGCACAGGGACTGCTTTGTACAGCAGATTTGTCAGTCGGGGGGGAGGACCATGTTAGTACCAGCCAGGGTCGGAGTGACAACTCATTAAGGCCATGGGCAATAGGGGATCATGGGGCCCCTGTGTCCTTGCCCAAAATCAAAAGCCTATAAAAAAGGTACCAGGGGCATCTCATGGGGCCCCCTACTGACCCGGGGCAGTGCCCAAGTTTCCAAATGGTCAGTCCGCCCCTGGTACCAGCACACATGCAATAGATACACTAATAAATTGAAGCCAAGTTTCAGCTAAGGGGCCCCTTTCACACGAGCAGACAGACTGGGTCCGCCTGTCCGTTTTTCAGGCAGTCCATCGATTATACTTTTATGGACCAGCAGGTGTCAGCAGACAATAGTCCACTGACACCTGTCAGCATCCGATCCGATATGCCAAAAATGGATGAATGGGAATCCATTCCCCATCCATCAAGTGGACTGGATGACAATCTGGTGGGAACACAGGTGGTCCATTTCCATCCAACTGTCCCATTTGAAAACAGCAGGCAGTGTCTGTGTCCACTCTGCAGCAGCAGAGCGGACAGACCCATCATATGCCTTCTCAGCAGGGATCCGCAGGGAGATCTCCCGCTGAGCAGGAGGATCACATTGACAGATCCACCCCGTCTGAAAGGTGCCTAATACTTTATAAGCAGTTACAGCAAACCATTTTCCTTTTGGGATAAAGCTTTTCTATAAATAAAAGCCAATCACTGTACACAACGCTGGTAGTGTTAAATGGTTTATCTCATCCATATAACGCATTCTGCTGGACAGCATATTCTTTTGAAAAACAGACTTACTGGATGGATCACCAGATGAGATTGCTGCATTTTGTTTAGGCTCTTTTCATTTAAGAATTGGCAAGTTGCAAAGTAATGCTTTAATTTTGGGTTTAATACTGCTTTAAATCTGAAGTTTAACTGAAAAGCATTTTATTTCTTGACCGCTTTAGTTCTATTGCTTGCCTGTAATGAAGTAAATCCCACAATGTGCAGGCTGCTAAATTCTGTAGAAATGTTTACTACAGGGCTGCCCTGTCTTCTTCCCCCCCCTGAACGTGTGTGTGTGTGTGTGTGTGTGTGTGTGTGTGTGTGTGTGTGTGTGTCACAGCTGCAGTAAAGACATGCCCTCTCCTCCTTTCTCCAACAATGAGAAAAGCTTTCATTGATTACACGGTTTGTCACACAATTTGTAATTTAAGGAGAGAATCCTGTGATGTAATCCATGAAAGTGCTTTTCTTTCCAATACATTGGCTTTATAAATGGAGCCAGGGACATGACGTCCATGGGGCCAATTGAGTCATCTGCCTCAAAGGACATTCATGGAGGTGCAGTGGGGAACAGCACTGGACACTCCATCCTCATTGCTTGTGTAAATGTTCAGCCCCCCTGGCTGCGCTGCGTTATTGGTTGGTATGGTGCAGTTGGCTTCCAGCATCATAGCAACCACAACCAGTGGTGCTGTGTGGCTGCCAACCTATCCCCCTCCCCCAGCACAGCCCTGAATGACCCCATAGTTTACATTTTAAGCAGGACTGACTACATTTTTGATATACAAATGAAAATCATGTTTTCATTGCACCTTGCTTTTCAGGATTTGTGGATGCACATACTCATCCTGTGTGGGCTGGTGACAGAGTACATGAGTTCGCAATGAAAGTAAGTTAGTTTTATATCTATATAGGAAAATATAATATTTACATACAATGTATCCTATTTACCTGACTAAAAAAAATAGTGTTTAAATTTTCTTCTGACCTTTGAATGGATTAAGTGGTTTTCAATGCATTTACAAAATTAATTTTTAATCCTGTCCCTGTACAGTATTTATGCCTTTAACCACTAGCCTACAGGGCACTTATACCCCCTTCCTGCCCAGGCCAATTTTCAGCTTTGACAATTGTGCGGTCATGCAACACTGTACCCATATGAAATTTTTATCTTTTTTTTTCTTTTTTTTTTTTTTTTTTTTTTTTGGTGACTCAGCTTTATTTTGGTGGTATTTAAACACCTCTGTTTTTTTGTTAAACCAAAAACCACTGAATTTTGAAAGAAAAAACGTTTTTTTTTCTTAGTTTGTTATAAGATTTTGTAATGAAGTGATTTTTCTCCTTCACTGATGTGCGCTAATGAGGTGGCACTGATAGGCACAGGCAGGTGGGGCTGCACAGATCATCAGGGCACACTGATCATCAGTTCTCTGATGATCTGTGTACATGTCCCCTCCGAGGAATGCCGATTACCGGCTCTCCTCTCCTGAGCAGTCAGCATGACAGCTTGTGGGGAGAGAAATGCCGATAACCGTCATTTCCCAGTTTTACATGTGATCAGACACAGCTGATCACATGACTGAGCTGACATCTTCAGCTCTTTCCGTGGATCCGGGAGCCGCGCGTGCACAGTTAGAATGGGAGGACGTCATATGATGTCTTCCTAGAACGAGAGAACCACCTTGCGTCTGTTATATTACTATATGGTGGGCAGGAGGCAGTTAAAGTGCACTTTATAAAGAGTTTTTAACAGAAGACATTTTTTTTTTTTTTTCTTTTCTAACCTCGAACAGATTAATTCGTTTTCAATGCATTCCTATGGGTATTCGGTTTACAACTTTTTCGCAATCTGAAAAGTCTTGCAGAATGCATTAAATTCATAAACCGAGGTACGCCTGTATGCATTTTCCTGTAGGCATTGTTTCTAACATACAAATTTCAGGACAAGCTTTTGGTGTATGTCCCCTTCTTCAAGGTCCAAGCAGTACTACTTCACAAAGTTTTAGTAGAATGTTAAAAGAAACAATCTGAGGGGAAAATGTTTATACTGCAATGGTTACAAAACTGGCATTAGACTAGAGATGAGATGGAGCAAAAGCAGACTGGGGGGGGGGGGGGGGTGAAAGAGTAGGATGACAGTCAGAGGGGTAAAAACTATTGGATAATGAGTGAGAACCCATGCCTAAATGTAAGGCTGTTTTTTATCTTTTGTATCAAATAGAAATATCATTATTTAGTTCAAAAGTGTGGTGGGGTTTTTTTTTCCCTGCAAGGTTGGAAATATGGTAACTGGATAAACTATGTACCTGTCAGGATATTGAATGCTCCCAACAGTGATTTCCTGCTCGTTTTTCTGAACAAAATTGGAATTACTTTTTCAATTGAATACATAATATGACATTGTTGCCATTCATCTTTATTTGTTGACTTGCTTTCAGCTTGCAGGTGCTACGTACATGGACATTCACCAGGCTGGAGGAGGAATCAATTTTACAGTGGAGCATACAGAAGCTGCTTCAGAGGAAGATCTCTACTGCAGCTTTAAACAACGCCTCCAGCGAATGCTCAGGGCAGGAACTACATTAGTAGAGTGTAAAAAAGTGGATATGGCTTGAAGCTGGAGACAGAACTGAAGATGCTGAGGAGTGATTTGAGCGTGCCCACAGTGGATATGGCTTGAAGCTGGAGACAGAACTGAAGATGCTGAGAGTGATTGAGCGTGCCCACAGGGAAATGGACATTGGCATTTCCTGTACATACTGTGGTGCCCATTCAGTGCCAAAGTAAGAATATATATTTTATTTGTGTTGGAAGAATTTTAAGACTAATATTCCCAGTACACACGGGAATGAGACTGGAAAGAAATGCTTAATGTTATGTTTTTACTGTAGATTTTCAGAAAGTCGCTCTACTTTTAAATAGAAGTTCCTTTAGTCTTAGAGCAAGCTCAAAGCAACAAGAGAAAAAAAAAAACTTGCCAGAGCCTGGTTCTAAATATATGCAGTTCGACATTTCGCATGTGATTCGCACAGGAACCGCACCACGTTCCTGTGCAAATTGCATGGGCATTGTGCAGTGCTACTGGAGTTTATACATTTCTGTATGGCTTTGATCGCACTGCACCCCCCCCCCCCCATGTAAAAGGTGCAGGGTCTTGTTTTTTTTTTTTTTTTTTTTTTTTCCCCCAGCACTAGAATCGGATCGCATGGGTATTCACACCTATACGATCAGATTCAGCACATCGCACCACGTTTTTGCGGACCGCTTTTTGGATGTCAACTTAACATACACACCCATAGCGGTTCGCGTGAACGGGGTGCAAGATTCTAAAGTGGTGCAGAATTTGATACAATGCAGAATTTGCAGCGCTTTCTGTGCAGTGTGAACCAGGGCTAAATCTCTCTTGGCACTACATACTCCAGTTGCCTTCAAGTCAGTACTGCTAATTGGTGTCCTTAATTTGTGGGCTCTCTAGTATTCAAATACCAACCATCTTACTTATTTCAGAGCCTGGCTCTGCACCCTCCCGCCTCCACTGTCCAGCCCTGCACCCACCTACCTCTTGGGCCTCATTGTTTCCTTATGACTGTAGTGAGATGAGTGCAAGCATCCAACCAGCAAACCTGGTTGATAATGTGCATATTGGACCATCCATGGTGCCCTGAACCCTGAGTTCTGAATAGGAGATTCTCCTGGAAGTGCAGGGTACTAGCAGTGGCATTTACTAATTATAGTATACAATGAGCTAATTGATCACATTTGCATTTTTCTAGAGAAAAAAGTGCTGAAACAGCAGCCACGGACATAATTGAAAATCATCTCCCTGCACTCAAGCAAATGGCTATAAATGAAGAAATTCATGTGGACAACATTGATGTCTTCTGTGAAAAAGGAGTGTTTGACCTCGAGTCAACAAGGAAGATCCTTCAGGCTGGGAAAGCTATTGGACTACATTTGAATTTTCATGGGGATGAACTCAACCCTATGAATTCTGCAGAGGTACACATCTATCAACATTTCTCTGATCCCTTGTTTTGATTAGAACTCTTCTGCTATTTTAACTACTTCCTGACCGCTCTATAGCAGATATACTGCTATAGGGTGGCACAGGTGTGCAAAATGTGAGATTTTTCTTTTCTAGGAGGGGAGAGCACACGCCGCCGTTTTGTGGCCATGGCTGTCAATCATCGGGTCCCGGCCGGTGATTACCTGCTGACTGCCGAATAGCTATGATGGGGAGGAATCTGTATGTAAACAATACAGTTCCTCCTCCCTGTCAGCTTGTGCCCTGGGCACCGTGTGATTACAGTGAAGTGTGCACACAGAGCTTACTGTGTAACGGCACACAGTTAACACTTTGCTCCATGTTAACCACTTCCTGCCCAGTGCCATTGGTACAGTCAGTGCTGGGGTTTTTTTGTTTTGTTTTTTTTTTTTTTTTATCCCCATCTGATCACTGTATTGGTGTCAGTGATACCATGTCCGTTCCCCCCAGTGTCAGAATGCCTGCCGTCCCACTAGAAGTCGCTGATCGCTGCCATTACTAGTAAAAAAAAAAAAAAAATTCCAGTACCTCTTATACCGCCATTTGTTAAAGTTATAACTTTCACATAAGCCAATTAATTTTTGTGAACCAATTTTGGGGTGTTAACCTACAGTGGTTCGCATGAACTGGGTGCGATTTGTGATGTGTGGAGTTCACACAAAGTGGTGCGACTTCCGCTCCGCATCAGTGTGGACTTGTGCACTGGAAACAAGCTAGCATTAAATGACAACTCTGCATTTTGTTTGTTCCCTAAGCCCCCGGTCACATCAAAGCCGATTTCTTTTGAAATTGTTCGACTTAGTGAAGTTGCACGACTTCAAAATCGGGTGACCTGCCAATTTCAGTTGTGATTTGCAAGACATCTGACACAGATGTCTATGCAAATCGCAACAAAAGTAGTACATGTACTACTTTAGAAATCAGTGCGGCTCTGACCAAGTCAGAACTGCACCGATATGACCGCTCTAATTGCGGACAATAGGGTGTGATTTGGCATATGATTTGCAAGTCACATGGCATGGATATCGCATGCCAAGTCGCACCCAATGTGACCGGGGTGTAAGGCATTACCTATCCACTCCCCTCGAGCACAGCTTACCTGCCTGAAGAAATACTCTTCTTCACTAAGCGGCCCTACCTGGAGCTCCATAGACTTGCTTCAGAAAGTGTTCTTGCCATGGCCAGATCTGGGGTGGGCTAAGCCACCTAGACCCCTGGATACTCTGCCAGACCATGCACAGACAGTGACAGGCAGCACAGCCCTGGGCACTGAACTTCAGAGCTGCCTTCACACTAACCTCCATCTGCTCTCCCAGGCCTACTCCTCCTCACCTCAATGGCAGTTCGTTTCCATCTCTGCTGAGCTCGAGGCAAGTGAGATGAAGGGGAGCCTGGGGAAGAGCCGAGTCACACCAGGGGGAGACCTGGAATGTCATGGATGATTCTCTGTGGAAGGCAGGGCAAGGCTTAAGTGTTTAATGTTTATTTTATTTATGTACTTTGTATAGCAGCATCAATTTACGCAGGGATTTACTTATATATGGTACATTCACATCAGTCTCTGCCCCCAGGAGCTTACAATCTAAGGTCCCTAACTCTTGTACATACTAGGGCCAATATATACAGAAGCCAATTAACCTACCAACATGTCTTTGGCGTGTGGGAGGAAATCGGAGTACCTGGTGGAAACCCATGTAGGAGAACAGGCAAACTCCAGACAGGTTGGGATTCAAACCAATGACCCTAGTACTGCCAGGCAGAAGTGCTAACCATTTGGTCACTGTGCTGCCCATCATACAGCTCTCAACCTGTACATCATGGGGACCCTCAAAAGATGAACACATGAGAAATAGATGGGGACAGAGAGGGGAACATAGAGCAAAGGAAAGAGAGATGGGGGCAGTTGGAGAAGCTATATAGAGACAGAGCAAAAGGAGATTGGGACAAAACAGAAGACACACAGGGCTGACTCTGCTATACTCAGAGGGGGATCTGTGAGCTGATTCTTCCCATTTTCCCCCCCCCCCCCCCCCCACTGAGCAGAGTGGGACACATGACGGGTATGTGTCCACTCAGTTTTTGCAGAGCAGACACAGCCCACTCTCTTCTATGGGTGGTTGGATGTAAATGGACTCTGCTGTCTGTTTACACCCAACTGCCCTCTGATATGGTCCACCAAGATGGAGGGGAACAGATCCCCTTCTGTGTTTTTGTGTTTTTTTTGTTTTTTTTTTTTTTGTTTTAATGAGCCAGTTTTGGTTTGGAGATTACAACCGCTCCTCCATAGAGGAGAATGGAGGATCCAATCAGGTCCACCTGAAAAATGGACAGGCGGGTCCAATCGGACTGCTTATGTGAGGGTGCAATGTAATATTGAGCATAATTATATGTACGTTCCAAAGTGCTAGTGCAATAAACTGTATGTATAAAATATACATCTCAGCCTTTTTACACAATCCAGAGTATTAACCTCTTAGGTTCCACAGGGAGTATAACAAGCATGCTTTACTGCATATACAGACTGATTTTACTGCTGTGGGTTTAGTAACACTTTAAGGTATATCTAAGCCCAAAAGCTAAACTTTATTGCAATAGAGGGAGGCATCTGTAGCCTGAATCGGAGGAGCAGCATAGATTGTCAATGTCCTTTCTCTATAGGTACAGTACAGTGAGTTGTATCTCTAGGACAGGAAGTTTGTTACTGGCATCATCATCAGGTAAAAGATATATCTGGGGAAAAAAACTTGTGTAACCTCATCGAAGTACTAGTAAACTGGAATGTATTTTAATTTTTTGTTTTTAGAGTTTCGATATTCCTACTCCTAACCTCATTGTCACACTTTCTAATACCAGTGGGTAGAAACGAGCAATGAATCCTAATGAGACCTTGCCAGGTTCATTAACTTTCAATAGATTTTTACTGAAAATGTAAAGGTTTTACAAAAGCGAAGGTAGTCTAGTTGGTAAACCTCCAATCAAAGCATACATATCGGTATCAAATCAATTGAACTGGACAATTTAACTATGTGCAAGCAAATACATTACAAAGTGCTAGTTTCATAATATTACCAAAGCACCACTGAAAGGCTTCAGTCAATGGCTTGTGGGGGTGCAGCATTGTGGTGGTAGTAAACACTGACTTGGGATCCAGTTGCAGAAAACCGCTTGCATCAAAGTTTGCACTTCACAACAAGCCCGGTGGGAAGACAACTGACACAAAGATGTGCAGCAGAGCAGGTCTCAGATGTGTTGACAATGTCTGTCTTGAGGGGCAGAATGCGGCCTGGCCAGTCCTTACCCAGATGGGAGGCTTTCAGGAAGGATGGCGTGATCCTACCCTTTCCCTACTCATCTGGAACCTCTCCCTATTGCTATCCACTGTCACTGACAGACAAGTGAACTGTTCCTACACTACCCGTATGCAGCATACCCACCATGGCTTAAATAGACTGTCTGACCCAAGATGGCTGCCAGTCACATGGGGTGTAGTATCCAAACTACTTCAGTGACCCAGGAAACTATAGTGGAACCATATGCCTTTTTTGACTTCCTCTCCCTCTGCAATGCCGCTATAGTTGAGCACCACCTACAGTAGAGAAAGCAGACTGCACCTTCCTACAGGCTAATGATACCAGAGCACTTGGGGGCTATGGCTTTCTAAATGTTTAACCACTAAATAATCTTGTCTAATTTTAGTAATGCACATCTGTGTTGGGCCTGTTCTGTTTCAATAATTCATTGGTTTTACCAGTTTCTCTGTTCCAGTGAACTGGAATTGTCCTAACCCAACTCATTAAAGCAGAGCTCCACCCAAAAGGGAAAGTTCTGCTTTAACCCTTTGTCCCCTGCTCCCCATGAGGATTAGCACCTTTTGTGGAGCAGGTACCTGAATTTGACAGGTACCCGCTCCCACTTCCACTTGCGATAGCTTAGGTGATTGGAATTTGTCCTTCTAACCTCCCTCCCTGTTGTCTTCTGGGACACGTGATGGGTCCCAAAAGACTACGGGGCCATTCACAAAGTGCAGCGCTTCTTGCTCATGCACAGTGGGCACCCGGCTGTGAAGCCAAAACTGTCACAGCCGGGTGCCCACACTGAAGATGCCGACACACAGGGAGAGAAGATTGCCAGTGAAATCAGCCGAGGGATAGGTATATGGTTGTATGCTAAAAGTCAACAGTTACGGTGTTTTTGTTTTTTGTTTTTTTGGGGTGAGGGTGGTGTCGTAAACCTTGAGAAAGGGAAGGGTGGGGAAAGTGTAAATATAACTGGGAAGATGAGGGAGTAGAAGGTAAGGGTTGAGGGGGGGAAAGGATGTACCCATATGTATGTGGGCTAAAGGTGGTGGAAGAGTGAAAAAATAGGTTGAGTGAAGCTAGCCATACAGTGGGAAAATAATAATTTATTTTGTGTGGACATTCCTTCTCGAATATCAAGGCCTATGGCCAGGGATATCGGCTGTGGGCCTATGGCCAGGATTTTGACACAAGATGGCGAATTGCTACAACTACCATCAGGTGTGAAGCTGTGTTATCCAAGAAGATGCAGGGCTTGGCTCCAACACACTGCCAATCGGGGGGGCCCCTTACATATAGTTTTAACATGCTCAAAAATCTAATGTCTAACCCTCAAGTGTGCTACTAGGGTAGTGTAGGTAAAACTTATTGTGTATGATTCATGGTAACTGTGTGAGTCTGTAATTAGGTTGGGTTACTGCAGGTGGGTGTGCACTGATCCTTCTGGCTGCTTTTTTTTTTTTTTTTTTTTTTTTTTTTTTTTTTTTTTTATGCGGAATATGAAAGCAATTGAGTTTTAGAGCCCACCCAATCCACCGCAGTATCCAGAGGAGGGAGTTCCTGTCTCACAGGCTTCTACACCCATCCCTTAAAGGGACCTCTGGCTGACTGGATCATTTACCACCCGGGAGTTTCTGATGCACCACCACTATCCAGAGGGAGGATTATCCTTGGCCTGGTTCATATCTGATTCTTAAAGGGGACCTCCAGTGATTGATTTAATGTGTATTATCATGCATCTGGTGAGTGTGTATTCTTACCCCACTTTTCTGGAGCACCAGCACTGGAGCATTGCTGCTATTCACCATATACCTGCACAGATTGTCACTTATGGACTAATACAATTTTAGTTGGCGTTTATTCCACACATTTTCATTCTATGTGGACTATTTCTTATATTTGTAGCGCTGCACTTTATTTGGTTACTGCAGGTGAGGCTGGATGGCTTAACAGGTTGGGACTCTGTCATCTCCACCTGGTTTTGGAGGACCATTGAACCCTCCAGAAACCAGTGGACCTAATCTGCATGTTTGAGTCTACCAGTTCCTCCAATCCTGGGATTGGTTAGAGTGGTTAAAACCAACCTATAAATATGGGAGAGTCAGGCTGGCCAGGGTGATCTGGTGGAAGATGGAGTGCTGAGGACTCTGTGGCCTAGGAGGGTTCCCCTAGGTCTAGGGGAGGCTGGGCTAAAGCTAGCTCAGAGGCTCCATTCAGCATCATGGCATGAACAGGATCAAGGCCTGGGAGCACGGAGGACAGAGCACACCAGGCATTTACAAGGAGGGACTGCTACATGTAGCAAGCTGACAAAGGACAAAAATATGTTTAATCTTTTTTTTTTTTTTTTTTTTGTCCTGGGAGATCTTCAGAGCAGCCAGGAGGGCTGGTAGTGTCTGCAGGCTGTGGAACTGGGAGCAGTTCTACAGGGGAGAGGAGACCTCTTTTGCATGTAGTTTGCAATAATCTAAGCTAACTTTCAGAGCGGCTGCAAATCCCTAGCCTGTAAGGGGCTGTTGCTACTGATCTGCAATAACTGACTTTCAAGGAAAAGATCAGTCCAAGAACTGTTTCTGTAAATGGGAAGGAAGTTGTCAGTTCTCCCCAAACTAACACATCCTGCCTTGGCGACCATCTTGGTAGGGGCAGAGCCTTGCTTCTTAATGGCAGAGCTGCTCCCTGATGTCTGGAAGTCTGCTGACTGATGGGGGAATATTCAAAAAGCAGGAGATGGAGAAAGCACTCATCCCCAAGATTATAAAATAGCAGCTTGCTTGTCTGCAGGTCCTAAGGAAGCTTCCTCTCCAGTAAAATGTTGAATGGGCTCAGCAGTGATAACCTTGAACCTCACTCCAAATCTTGGGATGTTAGTAGTCACTGGCTACATCGCACACTGCATATATATACAGCTACGAAATTGTGCACTGCTATATTTCAGGAGGAATTTAAGACAACCAATACATTTTTGGGGTACTTCTTAGGCACAAAGTGCATGTAAAGGCAAAACTTTTGTTTTTCTTGCTGGCTATGTCCTATTAGAGTGATTTCTCTTCACTCCCTGTCTGAGGTACAACACAAATTAAGCTTCCGTTTCCCAACCACCCTATAGCAGATATACTGCTACAGGGCGGCACGGGTGCACAAAATCTTGTGTGTATGTAGTGATTTTGCATTCTGGGTAGGGGGTACGCGCTTGCCCTACCCGCGCCGCTATTTGCGGCTGTCAGTCACCGGGTCCCAGCCAGTGACTACTTGCCGGCACCCAGTGATTATCGAGCATCTCCAATGGGGAGGAGAACTGTTTAAACAAAATAGTTCTCCATCAGCTTCTGCACTCTGCTTTGGATGGCTGTGTACAGCCATGCAGCAAAGCAGTGCTGTGTCCGCGTGCTTCACTGTAAGCACACTATGTAAAACAGCACACAGTTAACCCTTTGATCGCCCCTAATGTTAACCCCTTACTGCCCAGTGCCATTGGTATCTGATCACTATATTGGTATCACTGGGGCTGTCGGTGACACCAAGTCAGTTCCTCCCAGTGTCATAATGCCCACCGCAGTCCCACTATAAGTTGCTGATCAGTGCCATTACTAGTAAAAATACCAGTGTATATATACCGACGCTATAACTTTCATATAAACCATGTAATTTACACGTATTGGTGTTTGTTTGTTTGTGTGGGTTTTTTTTTTTTTTTTTTTTTTTTTTTTTTTTTTTTTTTATAGGGCAAAAAATAATTGCACAGGCAATTAAATACCACAGAAAGAGAGCTCAATTCATGGGGGAAAAAAGGACGTGAATTTCATTTTGGTGCAGTGTTGCATGACCGCTCAATTGCCAGTTAAAGTAACGCAGCACTGTAACGCAAAAAATGGCCTGGTCAGGAAGGGTTCTAAATCCTCAGGAGGGCAAGTGGTTAAAAGTAAACCCTGCTACATTCTCTCCAAATCAAAAACGTACACATAAACATTTCTCGATCCCTATAAGCTAATCTTCACTTTTTGACTTCAAGTTCACTTCAATATAAAGTCAGAAAATAAAATGTACATCAAAGGTCACGGCTAGCATTTGCAATCTGCGTTCTTTGTGAAAAAAGAATATTGGATGAATTTATTAGTAAATCATGGATCTTCAATAGTTGGACTTTTTTTATTTTTTTTTTATATTTCCCATATTTAAGCTGGGTGCAGAATTGGGAGCACATGCCGTGAGTCACCTAGAAGAAATAAGTGAAGAAGGAATCACTGCAATAGCTGCAGCCAAGTGTTCTGCCATTTTGTTGCCAACAACTGCCTACATCCTAAGGTACTATATATTGTTTACTAATTATCTGTGCCAGATCTGACTTTATACATCTGCTGAATGCAATAAATTTGCCATTAAGTATCACACATGCTGGAATTTTAAAGGATTATTTTAGGCTGACTAGAATCGGCAATACCTCATCAAGCCAAACTGTTGCTTTATACATGACCTGATGCATGATTTTTGGCTAACTGGTATTGGGTAGGTCAACAGTTTGGCTGCTACACATAGTTAACCCTGCTAGTAGAAGATTTTCCACAGCCCTCTAAAGGTTAAATGTATTAGACATACAATATAAGAACTTTTAGGTCCTTCCAAATCTCTCACCACGTTCAGAAATAAAGCATAGAAGACAAATGTCAATGTCAGATCAGTTTAGGATGCTTCTGAGGGTTTGCAGAATTTGACCACCTCCTAACCTGCACTGCCCTGCTTCAGGTGGGTTTTGCATTCTCATAGACTTGTACGGAAATGCAAAAGCTATTTAAACAGACCAAAAGCTCATTGTCACAGGCACAAGTGTCTTTCAATGCCAGTCCTCAAATGTTCCCAACAAATTGTTTTTCAGGATTACTTTTAAATTAAACAGAAGTGTCTGGATTCACACTGTTAAGGCTGCTTTTAACCCCCCCCCCCCCCCCATGGTTCTTTAAAGCAGAGTATTCATGGCTGTGCGTTATAACAAATGCATCTTGGTTCACAATATATACAGTATATGATATTGTGCCATTAAAACGAATAGCCGCAGATGCATCACAACCAACGCTATACCTGTGCATTAACATTTGTTGTGGTAACATGAAATTCCCAAAATGCATTAATTGGAACAGGTAAGAGGTGGCAGTACAGGCCTCCTCTACCCTTGAATGTCTGGCTAACAGTACTGCGGTTTACCAGTGAGCTTTTACTTTAATGTCATTCTGCCGAAAGATATTATTTTTTTTTGTGTATATGTATGGGACAGCTATTCCTGAAATCGCTAGCTTGTAGACCACGTCTAAGTATATACACTGTTCTCCAATTGTTCAACATGAACCCAGACAGCAGGACTTTTAGACTTACTAAATGTGCATGTCAATATCTGACAGACTGCTTAGGTAGTTTTTTTTTTTTTTTTTTTTTTTTTTTTGTTTTGTTTTGTTTTTTTTTTGGGTTTTTTTTTGCATACTATTAGTAATATCATGACCATAACTATTGGCACCCATGCATTTTGTCAGATAATGTACCACTTCACTAGAAAATTATTGTACATGTTTTAGGCATTTTCATGTTTTTTTGTATTGGTATGAGTGGAGAAACAGTCAAATCTGACACATTCCATGCAAAACCCCAAAAATGGATTGGACAAAATGATTGTCACCTTCTCAAAATTGTAAGAAATTGCATTCCAAGTTTGTAATGTTCCTGTAATTTGTAATCAAACTCACCTGTGTCAATGAACAGATGCTGACAATATAGAAATCACACCGGCAACCAGTTAAAATGGTGAAAAATTGACTTGGCCTTTCTGTTGTGTCTGTCTGCCTCATGGACCATGGGAAAGAGCAGCAAAGAATTGTCTGAGGGTTTGAGAACAAAAAAAATTGTGGAAAGCATGGACAATTTCAAGGTTACAAGTCCATCTCTAGAGATCTTAATGATCCTGTGTCCACTGTGTGAAACATTGTGAAGAATTTTACAGCACATGTCGCTGTAGCTAATCTCCCTGGACGTGGATGAAAGTGAAACTGATCAAAGATTGATAGAGGTTCTTTAGCCACCATTTGAACAACTTCCAGACAAATTCAAGCTGACCTTCAGATACAGGGCACAGCTGTCAGCTCGCACTATACGTCGCCATCTGAATGAAGAGGGACGCTATGGTAAGAGACCCAGGAGGACCCCACTGCTGACACAAACCTAATGCCAGATTGGAATTTTCCAAAACTCACCTGAGGAAACCAAAATCCTTTTGGGAGAATGTGCTGTAAACAGACTAAACAAAATTACAGCCTTTTGATAAAACCCATCATTCTACCATTTTTCAGAAAAAGCAATGAGGGCTTTAAAGAAAAAAAGTCCCTACAAACAAGGTGGTGGTTCACTGATGTTTTGGGATTGCTTTGCTGCTTCAGGCACTGGATGTCTTGACCGTGTGCATGACATTATGAAATCTGAAGACTACCAAAGAATTCTGGGGTGCAATGTAGAGTCCAGTGTCAAAGTTGGGTGTCCATCAGAGGTCATGGGTCTTACAGCAGGACAATGACCCAAAGCATATGTCTAAAAGCACCTGGGAAATGGTTTCAGACAAAGCGTTGGAGAGTACTGAACTGTCCATCAATGAGTCCAGATCTCAATCCCATAGAGCTCCTGTGGAGAGAGCTCAAAACAGCAGTTGGGGAAAAAGATTCCTTCCAATCTGAGACCTGAAGCAGTCGGTGAAAGAGTGGTCCAAAATTCCAGTGGATGTGTAAAACTCAGATGGTTACAGGAAGCCATTGACCCTTTCTCCCCCCCCCCCCCCCCCCCCCCAGGGGTGTGCTACCAAATATTGAGGGTGCCAATTTTTTGTCCTATCCCTTTTTGGGGTTTTGCGTGGAATGTGTCAGATTTTGCCTCTTTGTTTCTCGACTTTTTTGTGTCATACCAATATAAATAAACCTGAAAACTCAAACATTTTGTAATTGCAACATTTTTCTGGGCAAAGTGGTGCATTATCTGACAAATGCAGGGGTGCCAATATTTTTTGGCCATGGCTGAGGAAATATAAACATGTATTTTTGTGTTTTGCATAGTCTAAATATTGATTAAAACCCTAATTTTCCCTTTCGAAGGCTTAAACAACCTCGGGCTAGAGACATGCTCAGTGCTGGGGTCATAGTATCTCTTGGAAGTGACTTTAATCCCAATGCATACTGCTTCTCCATGGTAAGTGCTCTTGTGAAATGGCAATTGTTTGAAGTGCAGGTTTCTTATGTTTGGATAGTTGCATGTTGTTACTGTACCAATGCTACAGCCATTGCTCACAAATGCGACATGCTTGGTGCTTCAGACTTTTGTGGATTCTGAAGTGCAATTTTGTTGTAAGCTGTCTAAAACTTGTTGGAACCAGGTTGTAATAGTCCCAGCAACCAATAACTGATTGCTGTACAAGCAATTGAAAAACTTGTAGAATTCTAACAGAATATACAACGCATTGGGTGTCAATTTATTAAACTCTTCCAGTAGTAAGTAAAGGAATGTGTTAGCTGGCATAGTATGTAATATGTAAATAAACTATAGAAAATCTGCGATGGTTCAAACTATACCAAGCTGCTAACACTAAATTCTGAGACAAGAATTTAACAATTATATATATATATATATATATATATATATATATATATTGCAATCCCAGCTTTTACCATGTAAAACTCCAATGTGGTGATATTCAAACTACATAACAATATCACTGGGATGTATATGAAGATGTACAAAATGTGATAAAAGTCCTTTTTTTTTTTTTTTTTAATTTTTTTTTTTTTGGAATTGGGACTCATTTAATCAAAAGTGCAAATGTGAATCTTCAATTGCTAGATTACCAAATGGCATCCATTCAAACACGCACCACCCCACTCCATGCTCAAAGGCTTGCCAGATATATTTGGCCATATTAGAGTGGCAAAATTGGCTCAAAGATGGCGATTAACAGCCAATCAAGCCTTCTCCATAGCATCCAATATGGCTCACTCAAACAACGTTCACCGCCCACGCCGTATTAACCATCAATGCATGCATTGTCAGGCATCAAAGGTGACGTACATAAAATGAAAGGGCTTCCCATAGTGTAGAATCCTCTTAAAACCATTTAAACCATAAGTGCACTGACAAACTCCAAGATCAGTACAGCCTGATAGGGCTAGGAGATAGGGGGAGGGTAATGCTATATGGAGCAGCACTGTTCTGACAGGAGGAGGTGACAGGGCACAGCACTGCTCCAAATAGCTGACACAGGATCGCTCCATCAATTGGGCTGTACAGTTTCATTACTCATTCCCTATCTCCTCCAAGGACTGCTCCATGTCCCAGCAGCAGGAAATGTGGGTAGGGGGCAGGTAATGAAACTATGTGCAGCCTGATGGACGGAGCGATCCAGTGCTGTTCCGACAGGAGAAGGGGGACACATCACAGCCCAAACCTCCAGAGGTGGGGCATCTTACAGGGGAATTTTACACAATTAAGGGGGGAGGTGTGGGTGGGGGGACTGTCATTTGTGCTTGGGATGAGAGGGGCTGTTTGTGCTGGAAAGGGTAATGGGGGGGATTTCTGCTAGGAGGAGAGGAATAGGGGGATTTGAGCCAGGAGAGGGGGGGGGGGGATATGGAAAGTGTGCTGGGCAGGGTACTTTAGAGGGGGTTGTGCTAGGATGAGGAATTTAGGGAAATTTGTCATCCAGGAGGGGGGGGATTAGCTGAGGGTTTGTATTAGGAGGGTGATTAGCAGAGAGATTTTTGTTAGGATGGGGGATTGGGGGGGGGGGGGGGCTTGTGCTAGGAGATGGTGAGGGAATTTGGGCTAAAAGGGGGGGGGACTGAAGGGGGATTTGTGCTAGGAGGAGGAACGAGGGAGATTTATGCTAAGTTTGGATTGAGGGGGGGGGGGATTTTTGCATTTCTGTTTTGGGGAGAATTTTGGCTTGCAGACAGACTTTATGCTTTTGGATAGTGTGCTGATTTGTTTTGTTTAGGGGGAAGGATTTATGCTGAAACAGCCTCAATCTGCAGTGTATAGCTGGTTGCTATGTTGCAGTTCTGACCCTTTCCTCCTATGACCCCTGTCCTCTACCCTGCTGACCCTCTACTCTGCCCTGCTGACCCCTGTCCTCCATCCTGCTGTCCACTGCCCTTTTGGCCACTGTCCTCTGCCCTGTCGACCCCCTTTCTTGTGCCCTGATAACCCCTGGTCTCCACCATGCTGACCCTGTCATTTTCTCTGTCCCCTGTCCTTTGCCCTGCTGACTCCTATCTTCTGCCCTACTGAACCCCTCTATACTGCCCTACTGACTCTTGTACGCTCTCCTGCTGACCGCCCATCCTCTGCCTTGCTGGCCCCTATTCTGTGCCCTACTGAGCCCCTATATACTGCCCCATTGACTCTTGTACGCTCCCCTGCTGATCTCCCATCTGCTGACCCCTATTTTGTGCTTTACTGAATGCCTGTACACTAACCTGGTTACTCTGGTACCCTTCCTTGCTGACTCCTGTATGTTGCCCTGCTGACCCCTGTACACTGCCTTGATAACCTGCTGTAAACTGCCCTACAAACAAACTAATAGTCTCTGTACTCTGCCCTACAAACTTCTGACCCTATAGACCACCCTGTTAACCTCGCATCCTCTGCCTCCCTGATTTTTATACTGCACCCCCACATCAGACAGGTTAGATCTGGCCCTGGTAACTATGATAAAATAGGTTCCATCGTAACATGGCACGGTCTTGGCCAAGTCATACTTCCTGATATGTTGTTAATCTTTATTGAATATGGCAAAGTGAAGTAAACAACAAAAAATATCCCAAATTTAAAGAGATGGATTTTGACCAGAGTAGTCCTACAAGGGAGATATCATTTTACTGTAAATACAACAGGAAGTGAGAAACTCTGCATAGTGGGGAATATCCCCTCTTAGACAATTGTCCCCAGCACTACAAGATTTCCCTTCTACTCCTATTCTGGTGACAGTGGTCTCCAGAACAAATACAAAAGGTGAATTTTCCTGAGAGGTCTAACTCTTCCCTGCTCTAACCAAATCAAATACATTATAAGCACTTGTGTAATTGAGTATTTACAGAAATATCTTCTGTCTGCTGATTTATGTTTGCTGTAGCAATCTGATGATTGATGTTAGTTTTATATATATTTTTTTTTTTTCTTTGCTTTCAGCCTATGGTGATGCACCTAGCTTGTGTCAATATGAGGATGTCTCTGAATGAAGCCCTTGCTGCTTCTACGATAAATGCTGCATACTCCCTGGGAAGATCTCATACACACGGTTCTCTTGAGGTTGGAAAACAAGGCGATGTTGTTATTCTAAATGCCCCAAGGTGTGTTTCAGCTGTCTACCATATGAATTATCTTACACAGGATTTATTTGACCATTTTAATTAACTTATGGCTGCATTTTCTTTAGATCTTCACATGAGGCGTACTAAAGGGTAGAATACCCTTGGAGGGCCGAGTTTACTTGCATGGAGATGCACAGGTGTTCTGTGCATCACTGCTACACATTTTTTGTGTGGCGACTGGTCTTGTATTTGCTCCTCTGTGGGTTTCTACAGGCAGCTAGTAGTGAGTGGACCTGCAGAGCAGCACTGACGGGGTGGCACAGCTATGTGGCACTGACTGATGTCACTGCTGGGTGACACAGGTGGGTTGCACTGCTCATCAGTGGTGACGATCAATCTTCTGACAATTGCTAGTTATCAGCATTACTTTCCTCATGCTGTCAGCATGAGGAAAGTGCAGCTGATAACCAGCAACTGTATTTACCCAGTGATCTGCTGTCATTGGACACAGCTGATCTCGTGGTAAAAGGCCACTGTGATTGGCCTTTTACCACATCACATGATCAGCTGTGTCTATAGGACAGTGATCACGGAGATCGCTGGGTGCGCGCACCCCCGGGGACGCGTGGGAGGGTGTGTTCTGGGAGGGACGTCGTATGATGCCCTCCCAGAACTGGGTAACTGCGCTGTAGCCATCATTTGGCTATAGCGTGGTTAACCTCCAACATTTCCAGAATATGCCCCTTCCTAACTGACACCACAAAACAACTTATTAACTCCTTGTTTATATCCTGCCTTGACTATGGCATCTCCCTTCTCACTGACCTACTTGTACATGGGCTATCCCCCCTTCAGTCTATTACGATTGCTGTTGCCAGGCTTATATACCTTACTGATCTGTGACTGCTGCCAATCCCTTCACTGACTTCCTCGAGTCCAAGATATAAAATTCAAAATACTAACTAAACATACAAAGCCATCCACAAGACCTACAACTTCACCAAACTGCTCCTCCTAAGAGATCTTGCTCTCTAGCTCGCTTGTTGCCTCCTCCTATGCTCGCCTTCAGGACTTCTCCAGAACCTCTCCCATTCTCTGGAATTCTCTACCTCCGTATGTCTGATTAGCTCCTACTGTCCACTTCTTTTTTTTTTTTTTTTTTTTTTTTTAGGTGATCCTTAAACTCCTTTATTTAGGGAAGCCTACCCCATCTCCACCTAAAAAAAATTGTGCTTGGGTCACCTCCATCACATCATACCCTGCCACTATTACCACTTTTGTGCCACCTCTCCCTCCCTTTTTTTAGATTGTAAGCTACATGAGCAGGCCCCTCCCTATTCTTTCTGTATTGAACTGTACAATATAAAGGGGGGGCAGAAAAAATACAATAAAGTACTGCGGAAACTGTTGACAGTATATAAAATCCTGTGTAAAAAACAGAATTTCAGGTATAAAAGCTGTAATTATTTTTAAACAAGTGTGTGGAAGTACATGTACATGGTGTACCATAGATATTGTGTAAACCAAAAGAACATATATCATTGATTAACCATTTCAATACCAGGCACTTTTACCCCCTTCTGCCCAGGCCATTTTTCAGGTTTCAGCACTCACTTTGACAATTGTGCAGTCATAAAACATTGTACCCAAACTAAAATTTTATCATTTTCTTCAAACCTAGAGCTTTCGTTTGGTGGTATTTAATCACTGCTGGGGTTTTTATTTTTTGCTAAGTTAACAAAAAAGACAAATGTGTTTTTTCAAAATTTTCAGTTCTAAAAGTTTGCAAATTGTTCATAAATTTACTCCGATGTATTCTACTACATGTCTTTGTGAACTCTATAACTTTCCTACAAAATAATACATCCTAATTTGGGTTATTTTCACCAAACTATGGGCGTCAGTACTTCAAGAAATTAGATTGGTATAGATCTGAATATTGATCAATCCTGAATGTCCAAGAAGAAACAGTACAGATATCCCCCAAATGACCCCTTTTTGCAAAGTAGACAGTCCAACGTACTTTATAAGAGGCATGATGAGGGTTTTGGGTTTTTTTTTATCTGCCACTAGATGTCCTCAGTCTGATGCTCAGCATCATTCAACCCACTTTCTCTGGGCCCTGCCAACAGCCTGTAACTGGACAGTGAAAGGAGACCCAGTAGTGAGTTCATCTTTTATGCTTTTTCCTCCTATGAACGACTTCCCGTCTGGCCCATGTATATAAATGGCCAGAGAGGAGCAGTGCAGGGACAGGTGGGCGTTTATAAATGTCCTCCCTGCTTGTGCGCGCTCCCTTGTGATCGCTGTACGGGACCTCCTGTGTGAGGTCCCGAATCATATGGTCACTGATTGGCCAATCAGTGATCACATGAATAATATTAAGCAAGATGTCACTTCTGACATCATTGCTTACTACTAGTGAAATCTGTGAATGATCACATGGTACAAGGCTATTCACAACAGCCTTGTACCATGTGACATACTGTGTGAGCTGTGAGTGGTCACAGCTTTTCTCAATGGCTGCAAGAATGCAGCCTGAGAGGAGAAAATTATTGTTTTTACAGCTTTATGGGTCAAATTCAGGTACTTGGACTACTTGCATTTAAAATTTAATGATGTACTCATTGTTATGCCTCAATTTGTGCTTTTTTATATCTCCATAGAGTTCACTTGTAAATAGTTGATTTATATAATGTTTTTTGTTTTGTTTTTTTTCCAGGTGGGAACATCTGATTTATCAGTTTGGAGGCCATCAGGAGCTAATTGAATATGTGGCCATCAAAGGCAAAAATAGTCTACAAAAATGAGAACATTCTTGCCTGTAAGGATCGATTTCAGCAAAAAAAAAATGTTTTGAGAGCAGCTTATTTAGCAGAATAGTCCATGTTGCTAGTGGACCTATATTTATACAAGTGTCATTCTCTCAATCTCTTCATGCTCCTGTAGAGAAATACAACAGCTGGTGAACTCTACCTCTTTTTGGAGGTCCATTACAGGAGTATACTCACGGATGTAATTAAACAGTAAATGCTCTCTAAAGGTGGATTACACTTCTTTGCCCTCACTAGGGGCTTGCTGTAGCAGTCAGTATGAGCAAAAAATGCCTGATCTATTAAAATAAATATAAATCAGTTCAAAATTTCTGGAACTTTGCATATTTTTTTTTTTTTTTTTTTTTTTTCTCTTCTGAATTTTCTCTAGATTTCAGGTACAAGGATGTTAAATCACCTTTAGCATACTCTATAGTGAAAAAGCCTCACTTTGCATGTATAGACATTTTTCGCTACATAGGAAGCATATCCAGAAGTGCAGAGCGTTTTCTAAAGTAGAGATCTACTCAATATTTCTGGGTTAAACACAACTTTTATTTGAAAACTGAAAGTACTTAGAGGTTTATTCTGCCTTTTGAGAACAAGGGACTAAGCAGATTTTTTTTATTTTTTTCATTTAGAAACTTTAAGAGGATATAGCTTTCAATTTTCTCAGGAATTGGTTTACCTGGTACTAGGTTGCAAGTCCTCACTTGATTAACAATTTTATATCATCTGTGGGTTGTTTGCTTTCTTTCAATCAGTTTCTACAGAAAAAAAAAAAAAAACTAAACATTGTGTATTGCAGTCTTTGGCTTATGGTGCTCTCAAAGGATGACATTGAAAAAATGAGGACTTCCCTGCAATAAATGCAGAAACACTTCACTATAGGCAGGTGAAGGAATTACCAAAAACGTAGTTGTGAAGGGTAAAAAGCAAACACTGAGGAGTGGCAGAACCTTTTTTTAAACCAACGTTTCAACAGAACTAAAGTTCTAAAAAAAGGAACATTAAATGTAAATTGGGAATACTCAAGTGCCTGCACTTTCCTTTTTTAAATGCCCTCTTACATGCCCTTTGACATTTAACTTCTAATGTCAAGGGCTGGTCCATTCACTTGGTTTACTGAACTAAACTACCTACTATATTTAAGAATCCGTAGATATATGTGCTTGAGGTTGTGAAATATCTCTTGGCAGGTAAAGATGATTTGTGCCCCAGTTTTTAGCAGGCCAATGCCACTTGAAGAGGAACGTAAAGTGTTTGGTTTTTTTACATTTAGTTTTCTGTTTTTTTAGAATGATTTCTTTAGGAACCTTTCCTCAGAACATAGAAACAAAATTACCAATGATTTTATTGTGTTCCACTGTAGCCCTGTATGGTTTCAGTACTGATACTGTCCGTAGGGCTACTTTAGAAGCACTATGTCATAGGATGGTGTTTTCCATTAAAATCGCAGGAAAACAGTTGTCACTTACCAGAATATGCTTCACAAAGGGTCAGCATATTTATGAGCACAAATGTGCCTTGGATGATCGCACACCAGGTAAAGCACACACATTCAGATATGCCTCTGTATCTGAGACATGCTAGATAGGATCTCTCAGGATACTCAGCTGTCTGGCCCAACTAACGAGTCGGCAGAGGGTTGTCAAACTTTTTTACATTGTAAGCTGGATTTGGCCTTAGTTTTTCAATCTGATTTCTCTGCTATAGTCAGTCATTTACTTCCATGCAAATAGCTTAAATTTTTTTTTTTTTTTTAAATGTACTAAAGAAAAAAAGTATGTGTCTGAATTATTTTGGGAGGTCTGTTCAGCTAGAGCAAGCAAAGGCATATAAACTCCACTGTACTATTGGTGCACCAGGATTAATATGCATGGATTCCACTAATACTTTGTGCTAGTCTGCATATCACAACTTTGTGTACAACCCTCAAAATTGAGTTCAGGTTATTACAGTGGAGGGTGCTATATACATGTAACAGCAAAGGCATTTTAGACAAGTGCACTTCCAACCTTGTGGCAACAATTTTGAGGTAGGACCCTATTTCTATTACATGATATAGAGCACAGAGCGCCAAACTTAACCCCCCCCCCCCAACACCTTTTTTTGGGTTGAACTGGAAAGCTAATTGTGAGCCAAGTTTGTCTTGGTCAACATCAGTACCCTACCTTACAGAGGCTTTTTTTTTTTTTTTTAGCTGAAATGACACACATTCTTGCAACTGCACTCCAAAATCTTGTAGGAAACATTTGCAGAATAGTTGAAAGTGTATAAACCGCAAAGCAGGATGGGAACTCCATATAATCATGGTTTTACTATGGGATGTTCAAAATGCTGCACACATAGGTGTGCTGGTCAGGTTTTGGCCATACAGAGTGCATTGCTAGCACTTGTGGTCACTGTGATTTTTGTTCCCATCATATTAGTCAAATTTGCTATATTGTTACACTCTTTTTAAATAAGACTCCAAATAAGACTCCACCACCCTCTTGGTTCATCTTAGGACAACTGTATTCAAGTAAGAGGTTAATATATTTAATATTTTGCCCTCATGGTTTAACTAGTGTTTGAGCTTTGCACCTCAACTTCGACTGAATTTGAATGTAATACTTAGATATTCAATCTACAATACAAGTTAATAAACACAGAACTGGCATAAAATAGCTTACAGTAGAACATTGGGGGGTGTTGTTTTTTTTTTTTTTTTTGTTTGTTTTTTTTTTTTTGTTTAAGTCCCTGCCTGTATTTAATTTTGTTTTCTTGACCATAGCATGTATTTACCTTAAAAAAAAAAAACCTTAAAAAAAAAATGCAAATGGAGAACATCAGGGGAGATTTTTTTTGCACTCTTATTATATTTTCTTTCTTTCCATAATGCAACATAATTTATGCTTATATTTTTTCATCATGTGACATGATTATTTAACTGGTTTATTTGGTTTGTCATTGTGACAAGCTTGTTTTTAATCATATAAAACTGAAAAAAATAATACAATACCCTGGACTTCACCCTAATTTATTTTATTTTTTTTAATTTGCCCTTAAAACTATTTCAAATGGCAGGCTCTTCTAAAATGTTTATTTTGTGAGAGGCAGTCTAACTACTGTAACCACAGTATATTGACAATATTCTCACCCCTGTTATCTCAGAGTTCCATTGCAAACTGATTACCTGGACAAATCTCCCCCTCACCCTGCTGGGGAGAGTTAACCACTTCCCATCTGGCCCATGTATATAAACGGCCAGACGGTGGCAGTGCAGGGGTGGGTTTGCCGTTCATAAACCGTGCCTGCCATTTTGGACTGTGTGCTCCCTGCGATCCAGTGCCTGCTGTGTAAGCAAGATGTCACTTCTACATTTGAAATCTGTGAAAGATCAGAGGTCACATGGTACAAAGCTATTCACAACAGCCTTGTACCATGTGATAAGCTGTGACCAATCACAGCTCACACAGTATTTCTCAATGGCTGCAAGAATGCAGCCAGAGAAGGAGAAATGATTGCTTTTATGGATGTAAAAGTGATCAGTGTAAGGAAAAAAAAAAACTTCATCACACCCCCAGTGACACTATACTGCTAGGGTGACTGTATGTTCAAAAAAATTTGCAAATTTTTTTTTTTTCAAAATTTTTGGACTTTCATTTTATATAGCAAAAAATAAAAATACCAGTGGTGAATAAACAGCACCAAAATTAAAGTTTTATCTGTATTAAAAAAAAAAAGCTAAATTAACATGGGTACAGTGTTGCATGACCCTGTGTAATTGTCATTCAAAGTATGATAGCGCTGACAATTGGCCTGGACAGGAAGGGGGTGAAAGTGTCCGGACATGAAGTGGTTAACTAGTATAAAATGGTGCTTCTTCCTAAAGAAAAAAAATATAATTTTTATTTATCCCCCCCCTGTAAATACCTAAACAGTATATTTTTAAGTTAGATACAAAAGGAACATATTACTTAAAATCCCCTCGGCTTTGATTAGCTGCTCTTATCTTCCACATTTTCAGGGGGAATAACATTTGCTGAGCTATGAACCAATTATGCCCCTCAATTGGTGTATATACTATGATGATTATTTCAGTAGTTGAAAAATGTAGCTCTAGAAGCAACAGTGGTCTACTTATAGGAAAGTTTATGGATCCTCATCCATCAAAAATCTTTGTCTCTGAGGGTGTTTTCTCTCTTGACAATTCCCTAAATATCTATAAACAATTCTTCAGTCTAACCTAAAGTACAACCCAAGTTATATCTCCCAATAATCCTGTTTGGTACAATCCTGAGCTGCTTCACTTTTTAACAATTACTTGTGCTCGTCAGCAAGCCAGAGTCTGTTTTTTATGTACATCAGTTATCTGTACAAGGCTTTTTTTTTTTTAAAAAAACCTTTTATTCTGGAACAGCAGGAATTGGCACTTCCACCTACAAGCCAAGTGAAACATGCTCCAGAAGCCCAATGGGCTATACAAGACTTTGTATTTCAAACCCTCTACCTTTAGCAAAAGCCTTCTTACAACCATCACACTCGAATTCTCTAGGTTGTATGGCATTTTATCACAGGGAACTTCATCTAGACTTTCTTGAATACAGGGACATTCCAGAAATGGAGGAAGAGGATTGGGGTGAGGTTGATTCCTTCTCTATTAATGGTTTTTATGAAAATGTTTTTAACAAGATTTGAGCAACAAACCATGCCCATGCAGGGTCTTTCAATGGCACATAAAAAAATAGAGCACAATGCTCTAACACCAACAGAACAGAAGGTGTGTCCATGCAGGGGCTGGCAATGGCACACAAAATACAAAAACAGTGATATAACAACAGTAACTCAAGCCAAAAGCAGATAGCTACTGCCTCACAAAAATAGAGGAAAAAGAGTAAAGAAAGAAGACAAACCCAGAGGCAGGGGTCCAGGAACACCAAAACCAAACAGCATCACAAAGCAAGACTAGCCAGGGGGAGTGTGGGAAAAGCATAGGTCAACCACAGCTCCTATATTGTCAAAAATTTTCTAAAGGGGGGCAATACTGTGGGGGATGTGATGTAAAGGGGGGTGATGTGAATGGGGCAGTGCTGGGGGTGGTGATTTGAAGTGGGGCAGTAAATGTGGGAGGGGAGATGTGATGTAAAGAGTGGCAAGTGCTGTGGGGAGAGGTGATGTAAAGGTGGGGTGCGCTCTGGGGAGAGGTGATGTAATGGTGGGGTGTGCAATGGGGAGTGATGTAAAGGGGGGGCAGTGCTGTGGGGGGAAATTAAAGGGGGGAGATGCTGTGGGCGGGTGATGGAAGAGGCAGTGCTGTGGACACTAATGTGAAGAAGAAACTGATGTGAAGGGGAGAGACTGTGATGTGCAGGGGACCAGAGGTGTAGCTGGGGGGGGCAGGGGGGTACATATGTACCCGGGCGCCAAATTGAGGCTTACAACCAGGGGCGTATTTGTCGTGAGGCAAACAAGGCATTTGCCTAGGGTGGCACTTTTTAGGGGGGCAGTGCGGTGCTGCTGCCCCCCCCCCTTCCAGTGGAAGGGACACTTAGTACAGGGGCGAGCACCGGGCTCCTGTGTCTTACCTGGCTCTGTGTCCCAGTCCTACGATGATCCAGTCCAGGAGGTGCTGCTGGAGGAGGGGTAGAGAGGTCCGGTGTCTTCTTTTCCCTGGACGCGATGTGTGGGCAGGATGACTTACAGCCCCTGTCATCTGGCCACACCCTCAGGATCACTGGACAGCCTATGGCAGCTTGTACCTCCCTCTGCAAGCTCCGCCTCCTCACCGGTGATTGGGCGCCAGAACTGTAGCTCAGGAAAGGCACACAGGCAGCCAATCACCTGCAAGGAGGCGGAGCTTGGAGAGGAGGAGCTGAGTTGCAGCGCGAAGATCGAGTGAGGCAGTGGCCGGAGCAAGTGAAGAAGACAGCTGACCGGTAAGTGTGCTATGCAGATGGTGCTGCTGCAACCAGGTATGCTGGCTGTGGATGGGAGAGGGAAGGAGCCTAGGCTGGAGCAGGGGTCAGCAAGGTAAGTGTCAGTGGGAGGAATAGTGCCCATCATTGGTGTCACTGATGTGATTAAACAGGGAGGGGGCCTGGGGCGCCAATTTTATAGTTCATCCCCGAGCGCAAAATATCCTAGCTACGCCTCTGTAGGGGACTGAAGATGTAAGAATGGGATTGTAATATAGGAGGTGTGGGATGTGATGCGAAGGATGTAAAACATCACACAAACATGTGATTTGGACCTCTGCTGGAGGAAAATTTTACTGAGAGGACCTCCATGAATTTTAATTTGATATCCCTGGTCTAGGTCATGCCTTTCAATTGGTCACGAAGAAGAATGCATAGCTCCCAATATTTAGGCTCAATTCATAAAGCTTTAACACAACAGTAATGATCTTTCTTTTTGCCACGTGACTTTACAAATCTTATTGGACTCAGCTGAAAAGAATGTTTGCTTTTTTGAAAAAAATGATCTGTATACTGGGAACTGAGCTTTGTGACATGACCCTAATGTTTGGTTATTTATAACAGTGTTTCACTGGCAGATAATTGCAGCTCAATTACAGTTACAAACCACCTTCGTTTCTAAATATCTTAAATTTAAGAAAACTTTTTTTTTTACTATTAATAAATGAACTTTTTTTTGTTCTTATTGAATAATTATTTTGGGCATTATCAGGCCCATGGCTAAAAAAAAAAGTTAAAATCCATTTTTTTATTATGTAAATGTGGTATTAGATCACTTGGCATTTGAATAACTATATTATACAGTTTATAGCACCTGATTGGCAGGGCGAGAAGGTTACCACACTGATGGTGCCTGCCTTTACTTCATTCTGGGTAGACAATCTCTGATCAGCCCAGGAACATATTGTTTTGGACACTTTTAAGGTGGCAACGAGGGTAGGGAGTATGTGTCTGCCAAAAAAAAGCCCTACAAAGGTTACAGACAAAGGAAAGATGATACATGGTATTTCCCTATCAGATATTACTTTTGTTGACTTATTGGAAGCCAGCCAACATAGTTTACGTGTCAGAGAGCAGACAAATACCGCTTATTCCAGGAGGGCTGAGCAGAGGTGTAGCTTGAAGCTTGGTGTAGCTTGAAGCTTGTGGGCCCTGATGCAAAAGTTGGGAGGGAGGGGGAGAGAGGAGAGGAGGAGGAGGAGAAAGCATTCAGTGTCTGCAAATGGAAATAGAGAGAATCGGTTCCTGTATATATTGCCCATGTTGCCCTTGCTTCCCCACCTGTCCAGAAGTAGAACTGAATGTGATAGGGAGGTTGCACAGGCCCCCTGGAGCATGGTGGGGTCACCCTGACACTATGCCATGGGGTTGAGTCTCTTTTTTAACAGAGAGATTCAAATGACAAATTGTTATCCATGTTAGTAGCAGACCAGTGAAATCAGACTAATATTTCTGGGATAAAGACAATGGGGACCTTGCCACAGACCCTGAGGTCAATTCCTTTGTCCACTACATGCTCCCGTTCCCCTCCTACAATGAGGAGGACCTCTCCTCACTCTCTATTCCTTTGCTGTTGGTGCATTTATGAAAGTAAAAATTTCTGTGGAGCAAATAGACAAAGCAATTAGCTCCCAGTTGGTGGGCTCCTGGTAGAGTGGTATAGGGCTAATGCTGAGCTCTTGGTCCCTATGTTGCACTCTTTATGTAAAGAATGCCTGGAGATGTCCATTATTCTAAACTCTATGCTTAAGTCACACTTTGTATTACTGGCCAAACTAGGCAAGGATTTCAGAGTGCTCATCAACTTGCTCTACTAAATATGGACTCAAAATTTGGACTAAGGTATTGGCCGTTAGACTTTTTAAAGATATCAGCTCAACTAGTGAGCATTGGCCAGACCACCTTCATGCCTTGGACATCCACAGACACAAACCCTCAAGGATTTTTTTGCACTTCCAGATTTCTCATGACAGTATGGGTATGAGAGTGGTAGCCTCATTAGGCATCAAAAAAGCCGTTGATTGGGTGTCATGAGACGGGTACCTTATCACATGGGTTTTGTCCCTAAATGTATGCATTGGATATCTTTGCTCTATGGGCATCCTAGAGCAGCTCTAAAGATAGGCTCTTTCTCTCTATTTTTGAAAGGCAGGGGTACCAGGCAAGGTTGCCCTCTCTTACCTTTGCCATAACCGATGATGGCAATAGCACTTCGATCCCTTGTGGAGGCGAAAGCTCTGGAGGTGGGTGGTATTAAAATATGTTTAGGCCTATATGCTGACACCCTCTTTCTTTTCTTGAGCAACCCTGGCCATAGAGTCGTATTTTGGATATTAGTCCATTTCAACCAGCTCTCTGGCTTAAAAGGAGACTGAACCAAATTCTCCATCCTACCACATGACGCAGGGACTTTGGCTGGGGTGGACTCTAATATTCCTTTACAAAGTGTATCTAGTCTAACCTAGGGGTACAAATCACAGCTAAAGTCTCAGATTAAACCCTTACTTAATATGTTGAAAAGAGAGGCTTGCAAATGCCTGCCATTATCCATG